CAGAGGTTACAGAACGTCAGAAAATATTATATAATAATAAAAATAGAAATAAATATAAAAATACAATTGAATTGCACCTTCCGGATATCAACGTCCTTAGCACCGTTGACCATTAAACCAATTTAACTGTTTAACAAAGGTACTTGCATTGAGGTATTGCACAGTGAAGTGAAGAGTCACTACAGCTTCGGTGTGTCCCCCTCCGTTGTCCTCCTGGTTCTCCTCCCTCTCCCCTCCAGAGAGGAGTTATACAGTCTGATGGCGTGTGGGACAAAGGAGTTTTTAAGTCTGTTAGTTCTCATCTTGGGGAGAAGCAGCCTTTCACTGAATAGACTCTTCTGTTTGTTTATGGCCGTGTGCAGAGGATGCCCAGCATTGTCCATGATGTCAAGCAGTTTTTTTAATGTCCTTTTCTCTGCCACTTATATCACAGAACAGAGTGAGATCATCACTTTTACAGATTTCTAAGAAATACACATTTCCTGAAATGGGAAGAACTCCAGATCGCTACAATCTGGCACAATATTACAAATCACATTAAATTTATTGTGTAGTATATTTTGCAGCAAAGTCCTTGTTGGAAACAAAAATAATACTAATTGTCCCATTAGCACACGATTATCACAAACCGTTGTCTTCATTGACATAAATCATATGCTTTTATTTTGAAAATGGTGAGTAAATGTGAAATCATGTTAGCAAGAGAAGTTTTCTTGGCCTGCCTCTTGAACTCCTGACTCCAGAGAGTTCTCATGAGCTGTGACTCACCTCCTGCTAGAACTGATAAAAGCTGCTTGTGGGGGAGCCAGCTGATCCCTGACATCTTTAACATGCCCACAATAGCTTCCTTGGGAATACAACTAATTACTTCACATCTGTATTTATTTGATCCACGTGGAATTCTTCCTTCTGCCATCCGTGCCAAGCTATGCCAGCTTTGACTAACAGCGATCTATCTAAGTGACACTTCTGGCTTGGATTCACATCAGAGCAAAGCTGAAATCGATGGGGGAAACGTGGGGATGACGGGGAGGAATATCGCTCTCTCTCTTTTTTCTTCCCTCAGCAAAACTGTCATGAGTAAAATCCAGCAGCATAAATAAGAAGCACGGCAGTGCTTGTAGGTTTGCTGAATCAGAGAGGGTGAAAATAAGACACAAGCTGTTTGTTAATGGTTGCTTAAAGTCAGACTTCCACGACTGCAGCAGGTCTCAGGGGCTCAGTAGGTGGCACCAGCTCTGGGCTCCAGGGAGAAGATGGGCCACCAACTCCTGGAACAGCAGCTTCTAGTGACCTCTATTGACCACTGAAGGGAATGCAGAAATCTCCAACAGATGGAGTTCTGACCTATAAATCTGATTCACATGCATGAGAAACGTAGTATTGGGAGACACTGTTAGATCAACATGTACATTTGACAGATATTTAATCTGTGAGGTCTCAGGGAATTTTTTATACTTTAATAAACAATGATACATTTAAATGGTTGCCAATTTAGCACTGCCTTTATTCCTGTTTTCTTTAGTTTGCTTGCACTTTTTCAGGGTGAGTAAATATATAAAGGCTTAATGGTACAGTGTGAGACATTTTTATGGGGTCTTTTTTGTCACATTGATTGAAATGCTCTTCACAAACCAATGGCAACCAATACATTAAATGTTTTGTCAAGAAATTACTAATTTCAATCCTCCTCTGAGATTTAATTCTGGGAAAACCTCATCCAATGAATGAGATGTTCCCAGTGATTGTGAATCATGATGCAACCATCAAATTGCCCACCAAATGTCCCTCGGCCCTCTCTGCACACAACTCACACAAATCGTGCGATTTCTGATAGAAGCAGTCAAACAGGAAGCTGCCAAGTTTAAAGGTGCAGTATGTAAGAATATAGAGAGAATTTTACAATGAGAAAATCCCAAAAGAGTCTAACATTTCAGTCATTTTGGAAAGAAGGTTATACTGAATCATATTTCATATCCAGCTGGCTGCGGGGACAAACAGTTTTTCTCATTTCAAAACAAAGGAAGGAGGTACGTAACTACTGTTTACCATCAGTGAGTGTGGGGTTGTCATGTCTCCTGCGAGACAAGTTCTTCAATTCTGCAGCACAGATTGTTGTAATTTGACGACTGCCGGCAAAAAGCTCCAGAGTTGTTTAAAATTGTTGCAGTAACCAAAATTTACCACAAGATGTACTTTTTACTTAATGGATGACATGTTATGTTCTTTTTGCAAAGGCTGTTTTTTTTTTTCTTTCTTGCATGTGTTCTGCTTAGAGTCTGGTTCTGTTCTTGTTCGGAAACACTCAGGTAAGGTAGTTTAGTGTGTGTGTGTGTGTGTGTCGGGGGGGGGGGGGGGGGCTGATATATTAAGAAGTACCACCGCCAAATGCACTGTCCGTCCTGGGCCTCCCAAACGCTAACTCTGATTAGTTTTAACCGTTTTTGGGCTTAGTGTGTGTTAGTTTTAACTTCAAAAAATTCAAACCAACAGAAATAAAAGGTAGGGTGTAAAAAAATTGTTTTTAAGGTCAGGAAGGGGCGTGACCCAAGCCCGAAGAAAGGGGGTTGGACCTTTGACTGACATATTCAACCAGTAGCTTGCTCCAACAGCTTTCTTCAGGGTTTTCTGTCCTACCTTTAAGTATTCCTTAATAGTGAGCTACATTCAAAGTTTCTTCAGCAAGTACCATGGTCCCTAACCCACTCCCCTAACAAGGACCATTCTCCATAGTGGTGTTTTTTTAAAATGTTCTGAATCATCAAAACCATCATTTCTAACTTTAAAGCTGTCAGATCTAACGTCCGAGCCACCACTCCACTCCAGAGACCTGAAACACATGTAGACAAAGAAAGCCTAAATCTATTTGTTCTAAAAAATCCATCTTTGTAAGGTCAAGGCTTGAAGGTGGTGGTTGCACTTTGCAAAGTGTTAATTAATCAGAAACTAATGAACAAAGTTCAAACATCAAAGTTTTGATTATTTAAACACAACTTGGAAAAACAGGACTTTCCCTTCTTAATTATTCTCCTTCACACAGCATTTCCCGTGCACACTGTTGCCTAAAATGCTAATAAAAGGCCTCCATCTGTTTGTAATTACAACTACATAGTCTCTGTCACTGTGGCTGATCATTTTGACTGCACATTTGATTAGAACCACCATAGCAGTGGTGCAAGTTTCAGGCTGTCTGCTGAAACTTGTGGTGCCACATGCAGAAGCTCAGAATTATATCTGAGTAGAAAATGTAGAAATGAAAGCAGGAAATCGAATATAATAAATGTATTTAGATAATACTTTAAAGTTCTAATGAAGTGCTTTCAGCTTGTACCAGGCTTTATTTTTGTCAAGTTCTCAACTCAAATGATGTTTGATGCAGTAAATCTTAAACCTCGTGCCATCAAGCCTCATCATGGCTTATTTCCCCGTGGTGTCCATGAAATAGGACAAGCCGGCTGCATAGCGGGCTGCTCAATAACAGGAGCTAAGCAACATCATGTACCACCACTTTACTGCATCTCCGTGTAAGCCATCGACATTATGAACCCCGAGGCAATGGTGAAAGCTAATGATGGGAGGAAGACAGCAACACGGGGTTGGCTTATAAGCCCCTTTCCAGCACTCGCCAGATGTTAAACATCTCAAAGTGCATTGATCGGTGAAAGGATGGCCCAAAGAGCGTTTCATTCCCCAAAAGAGAACATGGTTTGCTACTACCAACGTAGCAAGAAGAGACTCAAACTTCAGTGACATGATACCAAAACAACTAGTCTTGAGCCATTTCTCGATAAGCGTACTTGCCTGTACTTGTGTACTCACGTCCTAGTGAAACATCCAATAATAAGTATGCAGAATGGCAAGTTTGTTCAAAGTTCCCAGATGTGTTCTTGCTCTGCACATTGTATCGAGAATGCATCAATGCATCCTTCTGCAGACTTTCCGGACGAAACGAGAACGTGCTAAACACCAGTTGCTTTTCTTGAGCCAAACATCTTTTGCTATCCGTGACTTCAAACAGTGTCTTTCTTTTTTGGGACTCTGGTAGTTTGTCCTAAAGTTGAAGTGGTAGCAGCCGGCTGTTTCTCCTGCTCTGATATCACTGAGTGGAGAACCTATCACACCAGTGGTGTTCTATTGCTAAATACGTGAGTGTGTTATGGGTGAAGGACCCAGAGAAGTGCGGAGGTTTGGCGAGGCCGACCAGATGCTCTAATAGTTGCTTGTGGTCCGAGACGTGTTATTGGTGGAGGTTTATAGACAAATCCAATAAAAACACTTTATTATTATTATTATTATTATTATTATTATTATTTTTTTTTTTTAAATCTTCGCAATATATTTATAGCTAAACTATGTTTAACATAGTTAAGAGGCATGAAAAAAATGTTGTACACTAACTTGTTTTCCAAATTTGCCATTGCAGCTTTGATTCTGTTAGTTCCACATAGGTTCAGCAGAAAATAGAATTAACTGTTTGGGGACACTGCAGATGTGCACAAACACACATCCGTGTATTGATCAGTTCACATGGCATCGACTTTTTTCTCTTTTTTCCAAATTATTCTTAATACTCAGCCAAAACTTTTTCTGTGTGCATTTTCCTAAAACCCTGAGAAAAATAAAGAATTCTTCCTTAAAACGTCACAAAAGTACATATTTAATTATTATTCAACAGCCTTCTTGAACCCTTCTGTCAGAGACTGCAGAACTTGTTTTCTTGTATGTTTGAGAACAACTGTTTTAAACTTCCTTTAATGATTTCACACTATGCTGTTTAGTATTTTGGAGTCATAGTCTGAAAACTGATTTATCATTTCAAACCAAATGTTTGATGTTCTCCTACGCTCGCCTGGTAATCTTGATGTCTCCGTAAATCTAATAACTGTTTCCTGAACTGATGAGTACGTCACTTCTCTTAGGATGATTAGGAGAATAATTCCCAAAAATAACATTCACATTTTAAAATTGATTGTAGAATGTTTAAACTGCTGCTACCATTGGTTACCATGGAAATAATGCTGCACCGTTTAAACCTTTCTGATTCTTCTGACATATGAGAGGACATTTTGATCCTGCAGAGGATATCTCTAAAGTGTCTTCATAGAAGAGGTAAGAAAAATCAGCTTTTTACTCCTTTTAGCATGTTTTTATACTCCTCTGCCCCTCAGAGGCGACTTTTTAAACTTTGAACTTTTGTAAACTTTGGATTTTAGCAGTTTTGTCATCCAGATCTTTTCTATGAAATGTCTGCAGCAGAATCATGTTAAAGGTGATTTGGGCTGCCAGTGAGAACTTAAAATAGAAATCAGTGGATTTAACTTATTATAAAAGTACTGTGTGCATCACTATCCATCATATCTTTACCAGAAATAGATAACGAGACTAAATCTTCTCATTTCTAGTTATAGCACCTCCTAATGTCAGTTGTGTTCTTTTGAATATTCCAGAGGTGATTCCTGGATAGAGGCGAGGAGTCAAGTGTCCAACAGGAAAATGTCATCACTGGAAGAGGTTAGTTGATTTAACTAGACATTTAACATACATGCTGGTAGAGAGGTTGTTTTGGAAACGTCTAACAAAAATGTAGGCAATACTCTGATCTATTATATTATGGAACTGTAGCATCAATGTTTTCTGATGGAACTGAGTTAATCTGCTTATATTTTTACAAATGTAAACAAGAGTTTGTGAAAGAACATTTCTGAAAGTAACTGAATGAAAAGTTTTTTGTTTTCACTTTTTATTTCACAGAATCTGACCTGCAAAGACAAGGAGAAAGATGAGAAGGGAGTGAGTGTGGGACCTTTGGATCAACCTACCAAGAAGAAGAAGAAGAAGCTGTACCGCTGTGAACCGTGTGACAAGAGCTTTGGTACTTCTTACAAGTTAAGATGTCACCAACGTGTCAAAGGAGAAAAGCCGTTTCCCTGTGAGACCTGTGGGAAGCGTTTTCCTGAGAAAAGGAAATTGAATCGACACCAACGGATTCATACTAGAGAAAAGCCGTTTCCCTGTGAGACCTGTGGGAAGCGTTTTACTAGGTTAGACTCTCTGAAACGTCACCAGCAGATTCACACAGGAAAACCCCCGTTTCCCTGTGACCAATGCAACAAGAGCTTTGATTCTTCTTACAAGTTAAAACGTCACCAACGTGTCCACATTGGAGAAAGGCCGTTTACCTGTGAGATCTGTGAGAAGCGTATTTCTGGGAAAGGGAATCTGAATCGACACCAACAGACCCACAAAAGTCAGGAGCTGTAACGTGTGTGTGTGTGTGAGCAGTACAAGGAGAGTTTACGTGTCACCACCAGCATATCCACCGTGATGTCACCAGGAGTAAAAATCATTTTAATGTGTTAAACTTTCAAAAACATTGTTTCAATAATAATAATCTGCATTCATCTCAATGTGTGGAGTTTCCTTTTAGACAGTAATCAACAAATAACCAGACATTCTTAAATGTCTGCCTGTAAAAGTTTTTTGTTCCATTAAAGAAACATTTTTGCTCCCTTAAAGAAACATTTTTGCTCCCTCTGAATATGTCTGTAAGACGATCCAGCCCAGAGCAACAATGCTGTTCTCAGCTATTTGTTCATCATAGCAAAACCTTTTTATCATCATTTTACAAGAGAAAATAGTAGTACAACTCAAGAAAGTTTCAAATGTTTTGGTTAAATATTTGATTTGTAAATAAAAAAATATCTGCACAATTGTTGCACAATCAAACAAACTGCTAACTGTGTGTGTGTGTGTGTGTGTGTGTGTGTGTGTGTGTGTGTGTGTGTGTGTGTGTGTGTGTTTACACATTAACATTTACCCTGAAATGAATCTTGTCAAGAGAGTATTTGATTTGATTGATTTTGTCCAGTACTGTATAACCCAAAGTACCCACTTCTTATTTACAAATTGATAAATTGCTTAGATATTTTTTCTGGAACAAATGATGTTTATTTTTTCTTAGCCACTTTAAAAATCCTGCATCTTTCCTTCAGCAAACATAAAAAAGACATTTTGTGTGTGACTCAGTTCCAGCAGAACCTGTTTCTTTTGTGAAGTGGGCTGGTTCTGGCAGCAAGTGATCAGATCTGAATCACATAGAAGATGCTGCTCTGTCACCTGACATCTTTATTTATTAGACTGGATAACAAACAACACAAGCATCTGCGGTGGACTGGCTCTCTGTCCAGGGTGTACCCCGCCTGGTTGCTCATTGACCGCTGGAGATAGGCACCAGCCCCCCCACCCTACCCCCACCCCGCGACCCTGCAAGGACAAGCGGGTTCAGAAAATGGATGGATGGATGGACAACACGAGCATCCCATTATAAGGTGACTTCTTACACAACATTTCTTATAAACACTTAAAGAGCAAGTCACTCCAAATCAAATTTTTTTTGCTGATAAACTATATAAATGAGTGCCATAGACAAATGCGGTCAATAATTAGGCACATTAGTGCATCTTAGTTACAATTTAGATGTTCTGCCTGAAACTGTCAGTGATGCACCATCGTCAGGTGAAAACTCAGCACTGCATTTGAATTTAAATCTGCCATCGCTATTGACTAAGAGGTACACTATGAAGTTAGATGGTAGATTATGATGTCACAATGTCGTGAGTGTTTATATTTGTTAGCGGCTCCGCCCTCCCGGTCTGCTAGGCAACAGTATTTGTTGCATTTTTCAAACAGGAAGTGGGAGTTGAGTAAGAATCTGGTAGGGGGTGACTTGTTCTTTAAATAATACATTTATTCCAAATAACTGCTCGCCTGATCTTTGAACATAAACATTTTAATTTACAGTAAAGCTACTTTAGAGGAGAACATCATATCATGTCAGACCAGTAATCTCAGCCACACCAGGGTTGATGAGCAAAGTGACAGGGCCTCGCTCAGTAAACACGAAACAAGCAATTAACCCAGCTATCACCCTGAATTCATGAAGTGACTGTGAAGCTAGCAGGTTCCCGCAAAGCTTCTGATTGTCCTCGTTTTGGCAGGAGAGACTTTTGGAGGGGAACCATGGAACATCTGGTGGAAGCAGACAGGGGCTGGCGCTACATGATGGGAGAACAAGTGCCTGAAAGCTTCATTATGTCCCAGCTGTTGGGCTTTCTGTTGCCCTCAGCAAAAACAACCTCGGCAGGATGATGTTCCTGGCAAGTGCGCTGCAGATTATTTCAACCAAGACACACACCCCCTCTTTCTTTTTTGTCTGTTTTTTAAAAGAAAAATGAGAGGAGGAGCCTATGGAGAACCCATGGTGGCCATTAGAGAGGAGAAAATGTACTCATAGCACGTGTAACTACATTGAACCCACATGATGTGCTGTAGTGTGAGAGATAAAAATAGGAGGTTTAGAGAGGGAGGAACGGCTGTTGTTATCCATGCTCACTCTCTCCAGTCCAGGGATGTGAATCCCAGCTGCTGACTACACCCTGAACAGGTCCATCAAAGGGCTGATCAAGGTAATTTATGACCCTTTTTTGATCTGTTTACATGCATGACCCTTCAGAATGTGACTGCGTTGAAACCCCCCCCCCAACTATTTACACATCAAGTAAAAGTGCACTGAACAATAAATTTATGTGCAAACACATAAAAGCACGATGTAGCCACAGCTGCCCTGGGGTGCACTGACAGATGCGAGGCTGCCGAGCACTAGCGCCACCGGTCCTTCCGACCACCACCAGCAGGCAAGGAAGGTTAAGTGTCTTGCCCCAGGACACAACGACAGTGACAGACTGAGCGGGGCTCAAACCTGCAACCTTCCAATTACGAGGCGAGCACTAAGCTTCTGTGCCCCCATCGCCCAGGGGGTGTGGGTATTGTTAGGGTTAGGGTTAAACACTTCCACCAACGACATTCCACGCAAACACACACTTAGGGCCTTGGGAGTGAGCACATTCAACAGCATTTGGCAAGGGGATTTCTCAGCCTCATCCCAAGTGCCGGTACCCACTTCCAATTTTTAACTGCACTTAGAGAGGACTGTGGGGGGAAGACAGGTGGTGTGGTGGCATTAGTTGGCGTCGGCCAGATGATGCCTGCACTGCCTGCTCACCACAGCCATGGAGTACACCTCATCAACATGCACCAACACAGTATTGGAGCAGGCGGAGGGAGACTAGGGGTCTTAGCACACCTCTGAAGTCGCTTTGCTTCCCGGGGCTGGAGGCTAGGAGGGAGATCTGGCCGTCTGGTTGGGGTCTGGGGTGGTGGGTCGCTTTGCTTGGCGTTGGGCGGGATGGGGGGGGGGGGGGGGGGGGGGGGGGGGGGGGCTAGGCTGCTCATCAGCACCCCAGCAGAAAGGGTCGAACTCTGGGAACCAGTGATGGTTGTATCCTTGTGCAGCAGTACCGGGACCAGAGTGAATAGGGTGTGTATGGGGAGCATGAGTGGGTGTCTGGAGTGCATTTTTGTGAGCCTTAGGTTGTATGTGCATGTGTGAGCATGAGGGAGGGAGTGTGTGACTGTGTTTGTGTATGACTGTATATGTCAGGTGGGGTCTTTGACTCCTCCCTTCTCCTGGGACTTCTTTTGCTGCAGTACATCTTTGCCTCCCCTCCCCCTGCCATACCTGGTGTGGAGTGTGATGCCTTGGTCTGCCTGAGTGTTCGCGGCTCCCGGGTCAGGGGGTTTAAGATTTTTGGCACCTGCCTGATTAATCTGGGTGGCTGCCTGGTGGGATCTGGGTCTCTGGGCTCTGTTGGGTCCCCGGCAGGGCTGGTCGCCCCTGGGTCCCGGTTAGCTGGGTTCCAGGCTCGGCTGGCTTGGGGGTGGGAGGCTTCGGGCGGGCCGGTGGGCTTGCCGTTGAAATCCCGCGGGACTCTGCCGGCTGCTGGTTGTGGCCCCCCGGGGCGATCCTCTGCGCCTCTCGAGGGGGGCAGGGGCTTTTCTGGTCGCAGTCTCCCTGGGGTCCCTGTGCTCGGGGGCCGCTCCTGGATCTCTGAGACTTGGAGCTTGCTCCATCTCCAACACATCTTTGGGGGGCAGATCTGTGGCCCCTCACACCCTCTATTGGATGCTCCTATAGAGAAACCTTACATAAACAAGCACGTGTACACACACAGGTGCTCACATGGTGCTCTCATAAGTATGGACTTGGGCACGTTCAACACAACTCTTAAGGCTGTGGTGGGCACTAAATGCACTGTGATTTATTATCGTGTGATTGTTCAGTAAAACAATGTTGATTTTATATGATTCTCCCCATCAGGTTGAAGCAGTGATAGCTTGCTCCTGTTGTATTTTTTTTTAATTGTTGCATGTCCCTTTTCTTTTTTTTTTCTCTCTCTCCTTCTGCAGGTCTAAGCAGACTCTTGTTCATCATTGATTGTTTATTTTTGAGCCTCCCCCTTTTGTTTCTTCCTTTCTGTTTCACCTATGTCTCTGTGTCTGGTTGGAATTACAAGCATTCAAAAAAAACAATAACAATAAAGTTTTAAGTATCCGGCGTTACCTTAAAAGCAGATGCTTTGATGCTTCACCTGAGAGTAAATCTGTAAGGCTTGTCACCAGCATTCAGACATCAATTCTGTTTGCTTCACAACCAGACAGGACACAAAAAAAATAAAATAAAAAAAAAAGAATCAGCTGAAATCATGAGTATTTTTACTGTGTTTTCTGGATGGGGGTTCAGCATTTTCACGACTCCCCGCCCACTAAAACCTGCTGGTTACTGCTTAAACTTTGCTAAGTGTTGCATGTTTAGTGTGATGAGTGAACAAAGTGACTTGGTGCCTTTAAGTCAAGCCAGGTGTAAAAAGTTCAAAGGTTGCAGCACAAACCTTCATCCTAACCTTGTTTCCTGTTTAAGAGTTTTCTAATTTCTCCTTGTCTTCAGCCCGCTGCAGCACCAACGCCAGCAGAAGCCCACGCTCTGAGGTTGGACAGCTTGTTCAAGTCGAATGCTATTAGTTCTGGGTCAGCTCCCGGGCTTTCTCTACACCCCAACAACACCTTTTCACCAAGCAGGTATTCCAGCCACCATTAATCAGAGCGTCGACAGCCCATAGATGTCAGTAAATATGTTTCCCTCACCACCTCTTTTTTACTCAGCTCTTTTCTTTCCCACTTTTCCTTTGAGTTTCCTCTTTGATCTTCATCGGAAATATCAAGCCTTCACAATGGTAGCTCACAGGACGGAGAAACCGATACCGAGACTTGCGTTTTCATTAATAGTTTAGCTGTGTAATTATGGAAGAGGATGCATGAAAAACTCTGAGACCGATCATTAAAAAAAATAAAAGTAAAAAATGACTTCTGATTGAAGAATATCTTGGAATTCTGAGATAAAATTCAAAATTTGTCTTTTCTTGTTTTTCTTTTTCAGTGGTCCTAGTCCTCCTCCATAGCTTATTGGCAGGAAACCAGAGCAGAGCACTGATTCAAGGGGCAAAATAAATTC